ACATACAAAGTTGATTCTCATGTGTTTAGATCACCCACTGTGGATGTCTTCTAAATGGCTCTCCATGAATGTCCTGATGCTGGATGAGAAACGTGTGATGGTGGATGCCAATGAGACATCGATTCAGAAGATGTTTGAAAAGCTGGGTATGTCCTAACGTACTTGTACATACACTTAAAATGAAATGATCATGATACCAGCTGTGCACATCAGGGTAAATGGAGGTTTCACTTAAAGTAGTCAAAGCAGCCAGCATTGAAAAAGGTATTCAAACTTTTGGGTTAGTAAGTAAGAATCATTCAGTGATTTTTCTCCTGAATACTTCAGTCATATGAATGTGGGCTGCTTTTGCCCCCTATAGCTTCCAGTAAATCAAGGTATGAGTAGCAACTGAAGTTATTGCTAGCAAGCTTTTGAATGAGCTTTTTTAATGTAAACTGTCTGCTCAGTTTAGGATCAAAATCTGTCTTGGAGAGGTTGGGTGCACATATTGCTCAGTGATGTTGAGCTTGCTATCCCTCATTGCCAAAATGCTTTCAGATTTTTCTAGTTTCAAACTCATTGTACTTTAAACTGTCAACACCACTTAACCAGGTATTTCTGCTCATTTATGGAGAATCTCAGTCCTGTGAGATGTAACCTCATGATAGCATGGAATATGCATTGACAGGAGAAATGTTATTGAACATAAAATCTGTAAGTCCTATTATGCACAGCTCACTGCAAGGACAAATAATATGGACTTAAAAGTATGTGCTCATGCAGTTAATTTGACTGCTTCCATGGTGCTGGGAGGGAAAGGTGTAGGTAGTTCTACTTGTGGCTCATAGTTGGTTAGTAAGCCAGATTGCTTGATGCTACAGCTGACTGTTGCTGCAGGATAAATATGTGGTGATGCAAAAGTTGATGGGGTAGAATGAAGACTTGTGGGTAGATGAGAAGTTGGGGGAAGTAAGGGATCACTGTAGAGTAAAAGATAATACTTCCCAGTAGCAGAAGACTCTTTAAAAGGGAGAAAAATTGTGGGAAGGAGAAAATGATCCAAAGGTGGAAGACAGCAACTGTGAACCTAGAAGAAGGTTTGGTGCCATGGGGGTGAGTGCCCTTATTGAAGCTTCCCTCAAATCTGAGATGATTGCAGGTGAGAACCATGCAATTCAAGGCTTTAAGGTGCATTTAAAGACTGACTATACACCCTTTAGTGAATCACTTACCTTCTCAGTCTTAGATTGCTTTAATTTGCTACATGACCAAGGAGTTGAGGATTTATAAATGCTTGAAAGTACTTTAAAAATGAGGCAATTAATGCTAATCATGGCTTATCTTTTGCACTTGAACTTCACAGTCTGTGTAAGTTCTAAATAAACTCCAGTAGTCAGTAAGTTCCTAGGACTGAGATGGGTCTACTGAGAAAAAACTATTGCTGATCTGGGTGATAGATTCTACTGAGCTGCTCCTGAAAGTACCAAGAAGCAAAAAGGCAAACTTTGCAACAGAGAAGTCTTCTGATCCTAGTCTAGCTGTCAGGGCTTTGTGTAAGCTGAGCCACAGCTGAAACATCAGAGCTGAAAAGAAGTGGGAGGAAGCTTAACCTAGGTACTAAGTGTAAGAGTCTCTTTTTGCTTTCAGAGAAAGAGGGACTCAGAACTATCTACTTTGAATACATCTGTCCTTGAAAGACACTTGAAAGAGCACAGTGTCTGAGCCATACTCACATAGATTTATGCAAATGTGCCCTGATCATATATTGTAGCAGAATTTCAGCTAATTCTTCACACACTGCACAAACTGAGTTTATCTTTATACTACTGGCACATCATAACACTTTAAACACTGGCTGTGCTCCAGGCACTGTATACACCTAAGGGTATTGCTGGAATAAACAAGCCAGCTATGTTCCTAGTTTGTTCTCTGCCTAGAATTTGGGAAAATAAATTCTTAACAAACGAGTAGGAAATACCTTCCATACTTACATCTAACCACGTGATCTGATAAACTATTATCTACTGTTCCAATCGGAGCTCGCCACATGAATTTGAGGTTTTAATTTTCAAGTATGCACTGTATGTTTCTTTCAGGCATTTCCACAATTAAAGTGAATATTCGCCACGCCAATTCACTGGGAGGTGGTTTCCACTGCTGGACATGTGACATCCGCCGCCGTGGGACCCTGCAGTCTTATTTTGACTAGTTATGAACCAAATAGGTAGCAATGGTTCAGCTTCTAAAATAGGCATAGGAAATGAACAAATCAATGTCACTTTTGTTAAAATGACTGCATGAGCTCTAGTGCTTGATCAGTGGTGTCCTCACAGTGGTCTGGTAAATGTTTCATTCTTAAATACCCTTCACTTTCAGCAGGATAATTGAAACTACTTCCATCAGCAATACAGGTTTTCTGGCTGCCTTTTTGAAAGACATCCTTCACCTATGAAGCCTTTTCATGTTGGCTTTGAATGTAAAAGCTTGACAAAACAGCTAAAAGGCCTTGTTAGAATAGCTTGGCCACTAATATTGGATATCTACCTCTATCGAGTTACTCTATCAAATAGGCAGCTTGAAATGTGAAACTTGAGTAAACTTTCCTTATTCCTTTTAATCACTTTTTTTCCTAATATATTCATGTCTCATGAAGTTAAAACAGATGCAACTGTATAGATCTCTTATGGAACCAAGTAATTTTATAATGTTTTTCACATTGAGCCATACAGATATTTACAGAGAGTTTCCAGTATGATCTAACTTCTAAGACATGTTCACTTACTTGCCATGTACTTCTACATTTTCTTCTGATGCATGTCATGCACCTGAATACCTTTTTATATTGCTTTTTGTATTGCTGAAATTGGGTTTTATTTAACTTTTATTCTGCTTGTACAGGTTTCACTCTGAGTTGTTTACATAACTTAAAAAAAGGCACAAAACAAAACCCCAACGACAAGCCCTCCTAACCTTAAACTTCTGACACCTTACAACCCTGTCTTCCTTCAGCTGTAGCAGATACAGAAAGATGTATCAAAACATGCCAGATGCCATGAAGGAATTTGAGTACTGATTACTGACTATGTACTTTTTATGCTAATAAAGTTTTTTGCATTCTCAATTTGTTGTTTTTCTGAAAATGTGTAAGTATGAAATGTCTGGATGGAGACAAAATACACATGTAAAAGACACTTGTATAATGCAGAAAACCTTTGTAGTGTGTTGTTCATATGGTATGTTTCTACTTCTGTTTTTCACATGACTGGTGGGGGAAAGTAACACTAATAGATGTTTCTTAACAGAATGTGGAGGAAACTACTTTTACAATGCAGTGCACCTTGACAGAAAAGGTGTCAGGCATGACATGCTCACGTATAAGCTCTATGTCCATATTTTAGAGTTGGATAGGGCTAAACTGGTCGAAGATCAACAATCTAGAATGCTTTGAGATATGCCAAATTGGAAGGTCTAATTAGGCAGCTGCCAGCACTGGACCAGGTATAGAAATGGTCCCTTGTTTCTCTCTAAAATCAAGGCTCTTTGGACAATGGGAATTCATCTGAGTTTTCCTGTAACCAGGCTATGTTTTCCAATATTGGCATTGGAGCTGGACAACTGCATTAGAGGAGCACACACAGCAGGTCCTCATTCCCCTTGTTCTGCAAGCTGAAGTGCCCAAATCACATTTGTGTGTCTGTGCTTGGCATAAGATATCACCAGGTATGGCTAAAACCATTAGAAACTGGCCAAGTGTGGATTAGTAACCAGACATGTGTACCCTGGGTGCCTCCAGGATTAAGGAGACCATATTTGCATATAATGTTATAGATGAAAATCTGACTTTATAAACATTTCAGCCTTTCCCCAGCTTTTTTGTTTATACCTTATCAAATGCTCTTTTATTAAAATCTGGAACTATGCACACAGTAGCAAGACTTTCTGCTTTGATACCACCACTGCTTCTGAAGATGTTTGGTTGGTTTTTTTTTTTGCTGTCAGTAATACAAGTTCTTTTACCTAATCCATGAATGCTTTGACTGATTTGGGAATAGACTTGTCTTTTAAGTCATTTTTCCTTCAACAAGAAAATCAGGGGAGTTGTTCCATATGAGCTTTCTGTTCAGCAGTGGTGTCAGAATACAGATTGTAGAGACACACTACCAGGAATGCACTGACATGAGGAGGCATTACTACCATTGTTTTGGGACAGAGGATGATCTGGTGACATGAATATTTTTGAGACTTTTTCAGACCTGACTTCTTCACTGACCATAAATCAGTTAGTCAGCCAGTCTGTTTCCATGTTAAGTTACAAGAGAACTACACTTGAGTACTCCATAAGGTACAGCAATGGTTAAACAGTAAGTGCCTGGGAACTGCTCCAGCCTGCAGAAGCAAGGATTATTTGGGAACCCTGTGGGATTCTGCCTAAGCCTCCTGCAACACATGTCCAGGGAGGACAAAGTTTGTATCTCTGCTGGAACAGCAATATTTTCCCACCAGTACAGGGAGCATGAGACTTTATTCACAGGTATGTTTACAAATGTCCCTGGGGTGGATATGCATGTCTGTATTGCCAAATGTAAAATTGCCCTGTCTCACATTTTCTTCTGTCCTATCAGTGTTATTTGGAGATTGTGCAGCTCTAGGAGAGAATTTATGAAGCGGAATGCAATGATAAAAAAAGTTCTAAGGTAGATTTTAAAGCTCTACTGGGCTTTCTCTATGTATTGAAAAACAGACCATTTCCCCCAGCCCATTCAGAGGGAGTGACACAGAAACAGCACAACCTTCAGAGGAGTGATGAAGGGAACGTGATACATAAGAGTGTTATGGTGGGTGCCGCCACATAATACTTATAATCTTCCAAGTTATTTTTATTCTTACAGAGAGGGAGGTCAGCCTATGTCGTAGTTGGCTTTGGTTAGACAAGAACCTGGAAATAGGAATCTACAGTGAGAAACAGAAGGGCTTGGGTTCTGCTCCGATATTGAATTACAAGCAATTTTATGAAGCCAAATTACAAGTGGGCAGCAGGATACTATTGGTCAGAGGAAGCAGGCATGATGGTGCTTGACCACCTCTGTTTCAGGCTGCAGTTTATGTGCAAATAAAACAAACTGAATGTGGGCTGGACTTGAGTTCTCCATAATTTGTTTTTCACTGGCTGTGAAGGCCTTAAATACTTGCTATTGCTTCAGATAAAATCAGCTTCAGCTTCCATAATAGATGGTACCTCAAAAGAAGCAGCAGAAAGACAGACCTGACTGGGAGGCCCAAAACACTGTAACTTACAGTTACAGCTGTAAGGAAGGATGATAAATCAGTTGCCTAATGCACAGAGATGTTTTCAGGGTGGGCTCAGCTCAGCTGCAGGGAATTAGCTAACCCCTCCCTGGGCGGGGGCCCTTGGGAACTAGGATTTTCCTTCCATTTTGCTGCTGAAACCCGGCTCTAGTAAGCTCCCTGGTTATGAGAAGGCATGTGTAGTTGCATAGGTGCCTGTAATAAGGATTCTTCGTGTCTGTTTTTTTAGAGAAGATACAATTCCTACAGTACCAGCGTCAATCCAGAGAGGATGTGGAAAGAAGGTAAAGTCTCTGAGGCAAGAATAACCTCCTGTTGTGTATCTGTTGTTCGTGGTTGGCAGTGTTACAGACTGGGGGAATTAGGGGGCGTTTGCCCTACTCAGTGAGCAAGAAGGGAAGAATGGTTTTCTCCAGTCAGTTGCTTTGAGCTGTGTCTTTCCAAGCAGAAAGTGGTTGTTTCTTGTTTCAGTACCTCCTGAATATTTCTGCTCTCTAGCTTAAAACACTCTCTTTTGACTCCATTTCTTGGCATCCATATGAGTAATAACCCAAACTGGAAAGCCTGGTGGACAGTTCCACAACTGTGATGTTAATGCTTAAGAAGGGTAGGCTGACATTTACTTGCCTCTGTGTAAAATTAGTCTTGGTTTTTAGATCAAAAATTAGGGCACTGCAGGAAATATTTTTTCTCTGGTGTTATGCAGTGCTGGTTGATATCTGAATGTTGGATCCACATATATTTCTGCTAGTTAAAGATGTTGCTAGAGTTGAATTCCCTGTTCCACCCTCCTATCGGAGGCTCTTTATTCTTGCTAGGGAGAAACTCAGTGTGTTTAGCTGTGCTAAAAATGTCAGGATACCCCTCAGTCTCTGGTGTTTATCACTTCCCAAGAGGGTCTGCTTCTTCTTTCCTTCTGCTAGAGCATTCTCTGAGCTTAATTAAGCAGGCAGGAAATAGCTGCATGATAATGAATGATGTCCCAAGTTAGTGGTTCATTCATTAGTTTATAGCAAATTATCACAATTCATGACTTAATGAAGTCAAATATATGAATGAGAAACAGAACCTTCTGAACTGTTTTTTACTGCTATGTTATTTTCATAAATAACATAGTGTGATTAATTGGGCAGCCCCACAAAAAATAAGCTAGTAAAATCCAAGGCATGCTCTGTAACAGTTTACACCCACTCCCTGCTCCCTCTGTGTCTCAAAGGACAAGAATGAGGGGGAAACCATTTATCTGAGACCCAGACAGGATAATATGAAGGTCATTCCAGCTGGCAGAGACTAAGGTATTCCCTCAGGTACATTGATCTGTTATCTTCATGTATGATAGTTTAGGGACCTGATACACTTAACTGTGTTTCTGCAGGTTCCCATGTAGAAAAAAGTGTAGAAATTCTGGTTTGTGTTTCTGTGTTGGCATCTTAGTGGTGTTGTTTCCTGATGCATAATACACCTGTCTTACTGTGTCAGAGCAGAGCTACAGTGATGTGAGATTTTTTTCTTTGTTTTTACCAGTCCAGTATTTACCTTAGGGAGTTTTGGATCTTCATCTGTTTCAGGTGTCAGATGCTGCAGTGGCATATGCTTGGAGAAAAGCATATTCTGAGAATTGCATGCAATGGGACGAAGGCTGAGTTGTTAATGGATTTGGATGGGTTTGTCTGTTTATAGCATTTAAAGCAATGAAATTCTTCCTGGGCTTTCCCTACAGCTATAGGGAATGAGGTAGAGAAAGAGTAGTCATTGTGCTTGGTTGCCCTGCTGCTGCTCCATCACTTCAGGAGAGCATTAACTGTTTTTTTAAAGTCATACTTAACCTTCTTCTTCTAAAGTATGGTATCTCACCCACCCAGGTTCTACGTACTCAGTCTTGCCTCCATCTTTTTATTTTATGTTTGCCACTGTGGCAGATGAATGTTTGGCTCATTTATGGACCTAGACTTATGTACCTGTTTTGCTGTGACTGTGTGCTGGTTTTGGCTGGGACATAGTTAATTCCTTCACAGTACCTGGTATGGGGCTTTGTTTTGGATTTGTGCTGGAAGCAGAGCTGATAACACGGGGATGTTGTAGTTACTGCTGAGCAGAGCTTACGCAGAGCCAAGGCCTTTCCTGCTCCTCAAGCACCAGTGAGGAGGTTGGGGGTGCAGAAGAAGCTGGGAGGGGACACAGCTGGGACAGTGACCCCAACTGAGCCAAGGAATATCCCAGACCATGTGGCACCGTGGTCAACCATAAAAGCTGATGAAAGATGTGGGAGATGTTTGTCAGCTTGCACAGAGGAGCGAGGACTGATCCCACTCGTCAGTCCTTGGTGGTTTCACCCACACCAGGGCCTGGCCTCCTTTGGCCCGTGGCATGTGATGAGCACAGGGCTCTCACTAGTCAGGACCCCATATACCAGGTTTTGGCCAGCAGGGAGACCTTGGGGACCATCCACTCAAGGACAAGCGAAGTTGCATCCTCACACCAAATGCCAGATTTTATCTAGGAAGTGTTGTCAAAGCCCAGCCACAGCAGCACTAGAGGGTGCTGCTGAGACGCCAGTAGCTTTCTTCCAGTCTGTCCTAAGGAATGTTTTAGAACGATTTCTATTTATTAATTTTGTTCCTGATGATGTTTTGATCAAAGTCAGTGAAAACACCTCAAAATTTTTCTCAGGGGTAGATATCATTTGTTTGATAATACATAAAGTACTATTTCTCAACATCAAAAAGTAAATGTCTATACATGTGAAAACAAGTGCTCTGAGTGCAGGGACACAGTCAGACATTTCCTCAAGGGCTGGCTGTATTGTTTAGGCTT